CCACCTCGTCACCGTCGTTGAACGGCGACGGTCGCCGTTCATCGGCGGCAAAACTTCAAAAAATGATTTTTTTTAAAAAAAAAACTCGATAGCCTTTATTTTTAAATCAAAAATTTTTTAGCAAAAAGAAAGAGCCTCGGGATAGATCTAGGTTCGAATATTTCGACCCATACCCCCTGTTCATCGGCGTTCAGATTGAAACAAACAAGAATATAAACATGCAAGCCAACAACACGAATGAAAAGGTAAAAAAAATACCTCGTTTTTATTTCTTGTTTCGAAATGCTCTACAAGTGTTCGAACACTCTTTGTATTTGCTATTGTGAACTTGTGTGTGTGTTCGTGGTAATCTCTGTGTACTCCCCATGTTCCTACAACCGTATATGTGCTCTCTATTTATAATACAAAAGATGCCCTATTTTTAGATTTTAATTCGAGTAAAACTCGGCTTGGTTGACGTTTGATGAGTCCACGACTCTGATATGTTATTTGTTTGTGTTCCATGTGGTCACGACGCCGAGAAAATCGACTGTGGGAGGCGTGTTGTGCGAGGGAACTTGATCAGTGAGAAACGACACTGGAACGAAGGATGGGCATGCGGCGCTAGGGTTTTTGGAAACCCTAGGTTTGACTTGGGAGCTGATCTGCACGTGGGTTTGGGCCTGGTACTGGGCCACCTGTTGGGTTTTGTAACTTGGGGCCTGTGAAATAAAACCCAAATTAATAAAAATTTATTATACAATGTAGTTTATAATAAAAAACACAATAATAAAATATCAATTGGTCGAAATTCAATGTCTTCAAGGCGATAGAGAAGTGTGAACAGGATAGGATGGCAAGAGAAGAAGCATGGAAGGTACAAGAATTGGCTCGGAGTAATAGGGAGCGTGAGCTTTTGATGCAAGAGAGATCGATTGCAGCAGCTAAAGATGCGGCCGTGCTAGCATTTCTGCAGAAGTTTTCGGATCAATCAACCTCCGTGCAATTGCCTGAGACCACATTCCCTGTTGAGAAAGCTCTTGACAGGCAATAAAATAGCAATGGTAGCGAGAGTTATATGCACCTAAGTACTTCTTGTTGGCCCAAAGATGAAGTGGATGCTTAAACAAGACTGAGGACTAATCTCGATTTGCAATATCAAGACAACAGCCCCGAAGGCCCTCTATGGGAGGAAATATCAACAGCAATGAAAAAGCTAGGCTATGATCGAAGTGGGAAGAGGTGTAAAGAGAAATGGGAGAATATGAACAAGTACTTAAAAAGGGTGAAAGAAAGCAATAAGAAACGGCCTGAGGATTCCATGTCCTTTAACCAACTAGATGCTCTACACAAAGAATCAAAAGGATCGATGGCTTAGTTAATTCCGGTTATGAGTTAAAGCCCGAGGAACTCTTGATGCACATGATGGGTGCCCAAGAAGAACGACCGAATCAAGAATCAGCAACGGATGGTGAAAGTGATGAAACTCAGGATGAAAACAGAAACACTGGAGGAGATGGTTTTCCAATCATAGGTAAGGATCCTTCTTCCATGGCAACTATTGGCTGATTGTGAGAGGAGTAGCGAAATTTCCTTTTCGGATGCTTAAATTTTGTTGAAGTGGGTCATCATGGTCCACAGTGTTGGTGCCTGTAAAATAGCTTGTTTTGATACAGCAAGTGGGTAAAACGACAGGCATAAATATATACTTTGATCATCATTTGTTTTTGAATAAACAGTGTAAGAGGCAAATCGAGAGTGGAATAAGATTGTCCGTCTGTGTGTCTTTCAAAAGAACCTTTGCCTTTAGCTTTTGGAAGGTGGGGGAAATGGTTTGGTTTTGTTGTGTTTCTGTCGGTGTAGAATTGCATCATCATTCATTCAACAAGGTTTCAACTTTTAGATAAAAGTGGTAATTATATCACTCGGTCGCTCTGCATAAGCAAAAACCTCGAACAAAGTACAATTTAAAATAACCAAAATGTAAAATAATGAAATGGGTTTTTAACCTTGGCTTTAGGCTTATGCTTGTAAAAAACAATATTTCGAGTTGGATTTGTAAACATCTCTAGCCATTATGTGCCATGCAACCTTATAAGGTCATATTTCGTTATACACCACGGTCCCACAGCCACAACGCAAAACAAGCACTTTGTTGATTAATAATATGCATGCATGTATCATGTATGCTTTCTGTTACATCATAAAGAACTTTCCTTTCCATGAAATTAAGAAATGATCAACAAGATTTGTACTTACATTCTAAAACCAAAGCATTAAGCTAAAATAAATATTCTTATATCATGCAACTTTTTGGGGGTAAAACGCACAGACTGGGTTAGGGTTTGAGGTATAAGGAGACTTTTCTCTATTTTCCTGGTTCGAATTTCTGCCATCTACCATCTTAATCTTCACCTCTCCTCTAATTTCTGTAAGATTTTGGTTTTAGCTTGCATCAAAGCCAACTTGGGTGGGAGGGGAATTGCTTATGAAGATTACAAAATTTAAAAAAAAAATTGAAAAGAATGACATAATGATTTTAAGGGACACTAGTGTCACCTTAGGCTAAAGCATGACATAATGATTTGTATGCAGCAGCACATGTTTTAAATTTCTCTTCAGCCATTGCCTGCATAAACATATTGATATCATGCAACTTTTTGGAAAAAATAATTGGGAATGAAATCACAGTTCAGATTGATGCCGCAGTAGATCGGCATGACTATATCAACGGCATAAGCATTGTTCTCGAGAAGGATATAACTAACCTGCGAAGGGCCTTGATGTTTATCCGGATGCCACTTTAAAGCTGATAAGCGGAACCTGCAACATGATTTTAATAATTTTAGAATACATGCCTTTGACAACTAAAACGAAAACACTCTACTTACGCCTTTTTAACATCTTCGAGCTTTAAGCGGCCAGTTAGAGGTAGCCCAAGGATCGCTCTATCAGAACATGATCCTACAGCATATGACTCATCCTCAGACTCAGTTTCGCTATGAATCTCCTGCTCTTCTGTTCTTTGATTAGTCCAGTCCCGTTTTTCTCTCCACTCGAATCCAAAGTCCGAATTTCGGAAAGTAAAATCCTCCCTAAAAGACCAAGTATAGCACTTGTTCCCAAATACAGCTTCAAATATTGTCTCAGGATTATCAAAGTCCTATGGGAAACTCTGTCTTCTAAACCTTCCTGTGCAAGTAAAAGGACATCTCGTTTGTTAATAACAAGAGGGCAGGCACTTGTAAAATGCTAGCACCTATCTGTTATGTGGATTTGGTTTTTTTAATTTGGAAATGCAATTAGCTAGGTCTTAATCTATTATTGTCTCATATAATTGGTTGACACCTCTTTATTATACAAAACATGAAGATTATATAAACAAAGCTAAGTTCTGATTTTAAGTTATTGCACTTAAATTCTTTTACATATAATCATGATAGGTAAATATGATATTTGTGAATCAGGACGGAAAATAAGTGTTCTTTAATACGAAAGCTATAAAAACATAATTCAATTGCTTTTCTACATTACGAAGAAGTACGCATTCTATCGAACAAGAAAAAGCCTTTTCACTGATGGGCATGTGACTGTTAGAAAGCAGGAAAATTAACTCGCATATTAGATGTTACGTTCAAACAGCTAGCTGTAATTTCACACGAACCTACATTCAAATCCACTTTCCATTATTCGTGCTACTAAATTTTACCCGAAAGATATAATGAGTGATCATGTCAATAGCCTTAGACTGAGTTACTTACTCATTGTTTTGAAATAATAGATAGATGAACAAAACATGAGATTAAACAAACCAAACCAGATACTAGTGTGCGGAAGGAAACTCAAGTTATCTTATGCAAACATGCATATATTTAGGCCATCAAAATATACTTGGTTCAGCTGCGAAAATAGTGCATAAAAGAGGCTATTGTTTTAAAAAAAACATTGAAAGCGAGAAAAGAGGGAAGTAATTGTAGAAAAAGGAAGATGAAGCTCACGTTTGCTTTTTCTGCAGTTAGATTTTCCAGAACGGGGTCCAGAAAACCTCGACCGATTCTTCTTAACAGAGCAATCTGATACCCGGCCTTCTTTCGCATCAAATTTCCATATTGGATTTGGACCTTCATCCTAGATAAAAGCCAAAGGCAAGCATAAGTTTTTAGTTCAGGTACTAATGAAATGCATAAGCTCAATCTCCGGAATATAATGTAATGAGAAGCAGGATAATGGTATTGGTCCCATACACTTGTCATTAGCCACTTCCAAAAGGCAGCAAACTCACTCTTTCAATCGCATAACTAAAATCATAATTTTCTTCTATACTCGGAGAGCCTATTTGGATATTTTATAGAAATGTAGCACAGAATAAAATATTTGAGGCACGGCAATGCAAATAATGAAGAAACTAAAATCAATTCCAAGGCATGTGCTTATGCTGAAATACAAGAAATGCTCCAGCTCATTTTACTTATTACAACTTCGATAATGTAAACTTTGCATGGGGAAGACGTAAATGAACACCTTCAATAAGGTGTAGGCTCTAAATCAAACAAGAGTCCAGAAAAGTTTACCTGAAATAAAATATTTGAGACACTGCCACTAAAGACAAGGTCTCTCAAAGCTCTCTTTGTTTCAGCACGCTTTTGACGTATGTGCATCATGTGGCCAACGGAAACATTCAAATTAATCGTGTTGATTCAGTTCCTGAGATGCATTAGATTTCTATTAGTACTAAATGATGACAGCTAAGTTCCCAGTCTAGGCGAAGAATAAACCTAGAAATCTGAAAAGACAAGTACAGATCAGTTTTCAAAACTTTGGAATTGCGTTTAGTCTACTGAAAGGAGGGTTTGAACACTGCTCTTAGAACACGAAGATAAAACACAAACAGACCGAGCTACAACTCCCGGCCTAGAACAATTTCAATCTTACGATACACTATCCTATATAGTAGGATCAAGGCAGTTAAGAGACACATGTGAAAATGATTACACTAATAGAAACCCGGCAAAGCAGCATACCTTAGTTGGTTGTTGAGTGCTTCTTTTATCCTGTAGAAACAATGTTAATTGTCAAGCTTTCTTGGCAAAATACAGATTTATCCTAATTCCTAAACCAAAAGTTTAATTCATTACTAAAATCTAAAGCTCAATTCTATGCTGATATCAGGGAGAAGAAGTAGAAATAATTGTTCACACAGAGAAAAGACCCACCACAAGCAGATACTTTTACTACATTTAATTTTGATATTAGCACAGTCATGGGATCCCATGAATCTTTCCAGTGCAACAAATTCATGAACTTGTTATTCAATTGAAAATAGAAATCCAAATTCAAGTTCACACCCATGGCATTTTAGAGTATAATAAATGAACCAAAGAGAAAAAAAAAAGAGAGAGACTCACAGAATTCCCTTTGTTCTTCCGTTTTTCACAGGTAACAGGCGTGGAATGAAATGAACCGACATGGGTTGTAGCAGCAGTAGCCGATTGTTTTGCAGGTAAGAAAGATGGAATCAACGAATTCTTGAGTAGAAAGATGTTTCGGCATCTGAAATTTTGCATAATTAGATAAAAACAAGACCGAACCACCTGCCGCAGGAAGCTGGGAGCGCCGATGAAAGCTCTGGGGTTTTCTTTTTTTGGTAAAAAGAACTAGTTTTCACAAATTTTAAATGAAAAAATGATAATTTTTCTTATTGAGAAAGGGATCGCATCAATGGCCGGAGAAGGTGAACAGCAGCTACCGGTGAACGTTGAGGATGCGGAGTGTAGTGAACAGGTCGGGTTTCGTGATTAGGTTAAGGAGAACTAAAACAACTGTTGAAATGGTTCTAAACTGGGTTCTTTTGGCCCATTAGGGCATGCGAAAACTTTATTTGTCCCAATAGGGCAACTCAAAAATTATTTTGGGATCTATTGTATTTTTTACCGTTCTAGTAAAATTCGTCGCCTCGATATATTATTTTTATATTACAGGCTTATTATTTTAATATTTCTTTTAGAACTCGTTACCTCGAGTGATGAGTTTCATTAAAAATAATAATATTTTCCCATATAATTATGAGAATTTAAATTTGGAAAAAAATTGACACTCGTCACTTCAATGTGATGAGTTTGGTCTGGTTTAAAATATATAGCCGTTTAGATTTGAAAAATAGTTATTGGTAGCCGTTGGAACTCGTCATCTCGATGTGACAAGTTCGAACGTTCATTTTCACAAATTGTAACTATAAATAGGAGTTGTGTAAGTTGATAGAGTAATAATGAGAACCAAAACACGCATTTGTGGGAAGAATATTTCAAGCAAATTTTGGAAGATCATTTTTGGTCTGATTACTCTGATATTGATGATTTGAATTCAAGCTCGTCTTTAGATGAGGAGTGGTGAAAGAATCAATAAAGTCTATTCTTGATCAATATAAGGAGTTGAAGAGGAAGGAGGGGGAGGGAGAAGAAGAAGAAGAATTAATGAAGAGTTAGCAAGTCGACGCAACAAACGACTCGTTGAAAGGAATGAGAATAAGAAAATAATAATGTAAAAATTGAGAGGGTCAAAAAAAAAGAAAAGTTTATTTTGTTGAAAAAAGTTTTAAATAAATGTATTAATTTGAGTTTAGTTAAACATTATAGTTTGAAATTATATATGAAACGTAAAAAACTGAAAAATTATCATTGATATTGATAAATTTTGTTAAATTTGTACAACCTAGGAATACAATTACAAAAGATTTATCTGCTCGCTCAATATCTTGGGAGATGTGGATAGTGCTTCATGTTGTGGCCTTCACCTCTATAGTGGTCACATAGCTTTGGCAGACCTTGCTCTCTTTGAGGGTCATCCATATCAGTATGAATTCGAATAGATTCAGGATGACCCCTCAACTTCTTTCATAATTATGGATTGGGTAACCATTTTTCAGAGACAGTAGGTGGCCAATATGCATCGTTCGGGAGATACTTAAACTCGCAATTGTATATGTTGTGCATAGTATGTAGGCTATAACAATCATTAGTGTAAATGTATAGGTCTACATTCACATGCATACATACAGCAACCGCGTGAGCGCATGGGTATCTAAAGGCTTGAAATCGACCACATCACATCATCTTCTATTCATATTACCAGTGTAGGTGGCAGAAGTCTCACCCTCATGTGGTCGAACAAGTGCTTGGACAATATAATCAGATTCCAGTATGGCAAAATTATGATCATACTTTGATGTTGCATGAGTTTGATTTTTGTTTATTGTTTTCTCCAAATTTAGAGCCTAATTTGTACCTTTGTTGAGTAATGCCTCTACTTGGGAACCTTTGTTTGCCCATATTTTACCTAAGCTGAAGTATGTCTCCCAAACAATACTTGCCACCGGAAAGATGTCTAGTCCCTTTTAGCACTGAATTGATACATTTGGCAAGTTTGGTTGTTATATGACCGTAACGTCGACCTTGATCGTCATATGCATATGCTCATATTTCCCAAGGTATCTCAGCTGCAAAGTTATAAACCTCTTCTTCATACTTCCTCAAATTTTCCAGTCTTGCATGGAAGCTCGATTGTACTAATGCGTAACTTGAAAAAATAGTGAAATATAAGTATAATTATAAACGAAGACCAAAATTGGAAAGGAAAAAGAATAAATTACCCATGTTGATAAAATCTTTCTTGATCTTCTTATTCTTGAACATTGGCATAACATTGGAATCAATATGACGTATGTAATAAGCAGGAACTGCATGGGGAGGCGACCACCTACTTCCTGGTCTGTCAATCATGGCTAACAACCTAGGTGAACGGTATGAGATCATAAAAACCCCATCTTAAATGACAACATAGGAGCGCAAGTTTGACAGAAATAAATTACACGTTTCCTCCGACTCATTTTTAACAATGGCGAAGGCAATGGGGAAGATGTTTCTGTCACCATCTTGTGCAACAGCTATCATTAGGATGTGTTTGTATACGCCATACAGAAAAGTGCCATCCAATTGAACCATATGTTTGCAGTAACGAAAGCCTTCAATTTGTGACTTGAAAGCCCAGAACAAGCCTTCGAAAACTCTCTTACCTGGGTGAACAATGGTTCCTGGGATGATATATTCCATTACGTGTAACAAATGTGGTAGCTTATTGTACGACTGATCCCAATCATCGTACAATAGTGTCATAGCTTTCATTTGGCCATCTGGAACTTATAATAAGATGAAATATAACCAAATGTATTTTGTATTGATGTCACAATCATTGATACCAGGATCCTTGGATTTTTTTTCCACCTGTAGCATCACGTATGCACATATGACATCAGAGTCTAAGTGCTTATGGTCTTGTGTCAAGGAGCTGAACGTGCAACTGTGATGGTTGTGGAGTCTTGTGACTTCTCACAACATCTTTCATTGTAGGTATGAGACATGTATCCTCCACTTATAATCGACGTTGTTGTTTATACATATGAAAAAATATATCTTATGATCAAACTCCACAACATTGAATTCCATATAAACTTTGATACAAAACTCCTTCACAACTAGTTGCGCATCATTCTTACTCCTAAACTGTGACCAAATCCCAACTTCGTCGATCCTTCATCTGAGGTCCCCTAGTGGGTTGCGCATATATCCAACATATCAGTAATTTCAGGATTCCTCATGGCATCTTAGTTTATCTCATGCATTGAAAATGCATGACGATATTAAGGCATTTGAGGATACAAACTTTCTAATTGCATGGCTATTGGTGGGTGTGCCCAAATTGACAAAGCATTATGCAGTGCTTGGCCATGACAAATGGTTGTCTCTCAGATATCACCCTTTATATTAAAAGCTTGTCCCTTTGAAGCAGCCTTGACGATATCAGATTCATCGATTATCGGTGTGTCATCTTCCATCATTAGTGGAACAAAAATTTCATCGTCATCACTAAAATCAACAAGGATTTCACTGAATCGCCTAACGAGGTTATCTACATCTTCTGATTATCTTGCTTATATGGTCATCGATGCAACAATTGAGGAAATATGAACATTTGCAGTTTCGATAATAATCTCAATCATTTGATTATTGGAAGATTGATGAAGGCTAACCATAACAATTACATCGTCGTCGTCATCAAACATGATTGCTTCATATTTGAGCGGAGTCTCTGAAATAAAGTATCGATATCTAAAACTTGAAACAGAAGCTTCATGTTTTTTCCATATTTATTTGCCAATGAGATATATCTACCGGGAACATCATGTTCACGGGCATCTGTAACATAAATTGAACACCATCTTCAGTTTGGACAACTTGGCCATCTGGGTGGATGACTATGAAAACTTGTTTGCCACAGCTTCAGAGATGTATTAGTTTTTGTTTGTTCAATGCAATTGTAAAAATAACAAGTCTTGTGAAGATTCAACTGAAGTGAGCCAATTTAAAACAAAGACGACCCATCATTAATTATCATTCAACTACTTTCCAGTGAAATGTTATCTCATTATGCACTGTTTCAGATACTTTTCAGTGCTCAATTAATGCAACGTTTCGAAACTTTTCAGGTGTCATTTATTGTAACAATAATACAACGGTTGGCTTTTTCAGAGGTCATTTAATGCAGAATTTAAACAATTTTTCAGAGAACGGGCGAAATATTGGTGCATTATCATCTTCAGTGACTTTTCAGAGAACGAGTGAAATAGTGGTGCATTATCATCTTCATCAACTTTTCAGTGATATATCAATCTGAAAATATTTTTTTAATTCGGGAAAAATAATACACCATTCCAGCTATTGTTTTAGTGAAATATGAAATCAAATCAGAAAACTTTTCAATGATGCATTATCACTTCAAATAAAAAAAAGGTTATTTCAACCAGGCCAAATTATTCACTATTTCAATAACTTTTCAGTGCTCAAGTAATCCACCGTGTCTTATCATCTCCAACAACTTTTCAGTGATGTATCAACTCAAATCAAAAAACTTTTATGTGGTGTATTTATCACTTCATATAAAAAACGTGTATTCATATGCCAAATAATCACCCATTTCACCAACTTTTTAGTTTTCATTTAGTCATTTTTAACAGCTATTAATATGTGTGAGTTGAAAGCCATTTTACTCTGATATTGAAGCAAAAAAAAACTAAAACTAAAACTAAAACACCTTCAATCTTTCACTTCCAAAGCTTGAGTTTTTTTCAAACATGAAAACTATTTGTGCAACTGTTTTTTACGATTGCAAATCTATAACCATGTGTTTCGCAAAAAAATCAACTAGACGAGTTAAGTTCAGTATATAAACAAGAGTTCTACTCGGAAGCAGTAGAAGAGTATATTCTTTATATTATAAATTTCTAGTATCATGCACGAGATTTCATCTAAGCAATGATGCAGACCTTGCTAGCATGATTGTTGTTGTAGAGTTCGATGATCTCAACCTTGCTCGTACTATTGAGGATGTTGCTTCCAGCTTGAATATCCCGCTAACTCAGACAAATGATCAAGAAACAAACATATATGATGGAGACCTATAAACATGGTTCCAATTCGCACGTGAACGACAACAACAAAAAGAATAGAGAATTGAGGAACTTAATATTACTTCTAACGAGTCTACTGATTACGAAGATTAAAATTTCTTAATCAGTATTGTTGTGTGTATGATTTTATTTAATGTTTATGGTGTTCATAAGATTAGTCATATTTACGTCCTTATGGTAATGTATTAAGTTTATAGGTTTTTTCTTTTTAGTATGCATTTATGATGGTCTGTTCATAGTTTGTTACTCTTGCAACA